TCCCTGCAGGACCTGTTCTCTGGCCTCCAGCCTGCCTTATGGCATCACTTTGAATTTTGATTTACTTTTTTCCTTTTCATCTTTGCTTGTTCTTCCTTTTTCCCTTTCTCATTTTTCCAAAATGAGAAACTGTAGTATATAATTTTAAAAGTATGGATAAAATTACTCTTCGAGTTTAAACTACTTCCAAAGGTAGAGAAAAATCTTAAATTTTTCTGAAATTGTTTAAATTGTGAAATGTCAAAGGGTCATGGAGATGACTCTTTAGCAGTTAAATATTTTATATGAAAATTATATATATTTGAAATATATGTATGAAAATTAGACTTTACTAATTAGGGATAATTCAACCTGGTGAAGACTAAAGATAAGTTTTTTACTATTTAGAAATGACTTAACAGGGAAGCAATACTATACATATGATTATAGAACTAAGTTTAAATTACTTAAGACAAAGTATTTGAATATATGTTTAGAGCCAAAAGATATTGTTATCTATTAGACAGAATACATCCAACAAGAAGTCTTAGTACATTTTCTTAGCAGATAATTGGAGTCACTTTTTTTATTTTGAAAGTAAGAATCCCAAGGCCCAGTTGGTCTCAAATTCCTGGCCTCAAGCAATCCTCCCGCCTTGGCCTCCCTAAGTGCTAGGATTATAGGCATGAGCCACCATGCCAGGCAAAAATGACTGTAAATGAGATTTTAAAAAATTAATTCAGAATATCTTCTTTTTTGAGTTGTTTCATGTTAGTGAGGTTTTGCTGTAATTAGCTGTTCTGTAGGCAACAGGAACCCTTTAGAGGAGGTAACTATGTGCCTTGTACTGACCTCCAGGAAAAAAGCTAATATACTATATAGCAACATTACACTTTTATAGGGGTCATTTTCCAGATGATCTCAACTTCAGAATATAATGTTCAGAGCCAGGACATGAGCATAAGTCTCTGAGCAGTCAAAAACAACTATTAAAAAGCACAAAATCTCATACCTTAACTCTGAAAAAGATCTCTTAGATGCTCAACTCATATCCTACTCATTTTCACTTTGCATATATTTCTAACAAGCTTCCCTATCAGTTCCCCCCCTTGAGAATGAAATTAACACATTAGACGTAACACAATGTTAGAAGCATTCATTGACAGCAGCAAAAAGGAAGAACTGATAGTCTTTAGATTAAAGGAGGAATTGAAAAAGAACTGTAAGAGCAGAAATATTTTCTCAAAAAATCTGAGACCATTTAATGTAGGAACACACAGTTCAATATTTCAATAATACCTGACAATATGAATGAATTTTACCATCATTCTGGAATTGACAATCCATGACAGTGGCCCTGAATCATCAAGAAAAGATAGAACTAATTTAAGGTAGCAAAGTAAGTACACTATATTTTAGAATTCTATCCAGAATTATTATAATAATTTTTAAAATTTAAAGGCAAGAATCATAGTTATCTGGAAAATGTTTATATTAAAGATTATGTTTCTTGAAAATGCCAGAAAAATGAGGCATCTCTGTGACTGTCAGATTTGGAATATTTTAGAGAGCAGCTGGGTAATTGCCTCTGACCTATAATCTCTACTGCTTTCGAATTTTCTACTGGGAGGAAAGAGGAAAGCAGCACAGGTATCTCAGCTGTGTGGCCAGTTAGACCATTAGTCTCTCTTTTTCAACATTCTCTGTGTGATGGAAAGGGCACAGGCATTGACGTTCAATCTGTTTGACTGCTGGTTCTGCCACTCAATAGTTTGATAACATTGGACAAACTACTTTAAACCTCAAATTTCTATCTGCAACTAGGGATTATGTTACCTACTCATGGAGCTGTTTTACATGTACAGTGCCAGAGTCCAATTCTGAGCTTAATCTTGTACATATCTTTCCTGTTGTTTTGCTCTCAGTGACCAGCTTCTGGGCACTTACACAGAGAGTAGAAGTGGAGAAGATTCAGAGGAAAGAGGTGGCTTTTGCAAGGCAGTGTTAAAGAATTGGTTCAAATACACTTAACACAGAAAGATTAGCCCATTCAGCTTCCTACCATCACTGTGATGTTCCAGAATGTCTTTCTTCAAATGCATGATGTGGAGTTTCTTTTCCTTTCCAAGAAGAATTTTAAATGCATAAAAATGATGAAGCATGGGAAAGCTAAGAGGCCCTTCACAGTGCAATTACTGTATGCCCGATATATCTTGGGAATGATTATGAACCGTTCAATACCAAAGCCATAATCCTAAGAGCATAGATTCATTCATTCCTCATTCATCAACCATTCAACCAACATTTGTTATGTGCCTGTCATGTTCCCAGCACTGCTGCAAGCACTGGGTATTCAAAGGCATAGTCTTTGACCCCAGGCATATTATAGCCTTGTAGGCAGACAAGTGCTCTAAAGTCTTGGCACTCAAAGTGTGACCTTTGGACCAGCAGTATCAGCATCACCTGGTAGCTTGCTAGAAATTCAGAACCTCATGTCCCAACTCAGGCCTAATGAATCAGAATCTGCATTGTAACAAGATTACCAGGTAATTCATGTGCATATTATAATTTGAAAACCACAGCTTTATCATATTACACCTGTTGGGATTGGGAGATATTCTTGGGACAAGCTAGGGTTCAACAGTAGGCTATTCATTTTGATGTTATGTGGCTCAAGAAAGGTTGTACACCAAAAGTTACATGTATTAGTTTGCTAGAGCTGCTGTAAGAAAATATTACCAACTTGCTGGCTCAAACAATAGAACGTTATTGTCTCACAGTTCTGGAGGCAGGAAGTCTCAAATCCAGGTGTTGGCAGTGTTGGTTCCCTTTGAAGGCTAGGAGAGAGAATCAGTTCGATGATTCTTTCCCAGCTTCTGGTGGTCTGAGTCATTTCTTGGCTTATGGATGGCCATCTTCTCCCTATGTCTTATTTTCTTCCTTCTATGCATGTCTGTCTCTGTGTCCAAATTTCCCCTTTACGTAAGGACAACAGTCATTTTGGATTCGGGCCTATTTTAATGACCCCATTCTTGACTTGATCATCTGCAAACACCCTATTTCCAAATAAGGTTACATTCACAGGTACTGGGGTTTAGAACTTGAACATATTTCAGGGAGATATATTTCAACCCTTAACATGACCCATGATCTCAACTTGAAAGATGATTAGTAGGCCGGGTGCCGTGGCTCATGCCTATAATCCCAGCATGTTGGGAGGCCGAGGCAGGCTGATCACCTGAGGTCAAGAGTTCGAGACCAGCCTGGACAATATGGTGAAACCCTGTCTCTACTAAAATATACAAAAATTAGCTGGGCGTGGTGGCAGGTGATTAAATCCCAGCTACTTGGGAGGCAGAGGCAGGAGAATCATTTGAACCCGGAAGGCAGAGGTTGCAATGAGCCAAGATGAAGCCATTGCACTCAAACCTGGGGGATAAGAGTGAGATTTCTCTCTCAAAAAAAAAAAAAAAAAGAAAGAAAAAAAGAAAGATGATTAGTAAAGCAAACTGGGGAAAAAGCAAAGGATGGCATTTTAGGAGGTGGTGGGACCAGCATGATGAGTAAAGGCAGGAGTGAAGCAGTCTGCTTAAGAAACTGCCTGCCTCTCAGTAACCATGGCTGAAGGACAAGAGGTGGGGTAAGGAAGGAGGCAGATCTATTAGGGAAGTAGGCCGATCTTAAAATACTGCGGCAGGGTTGAACTTTTATTTTGTAGGCAATGGGGAACCAAAAGAAAGGTTCTAACTTTTGGTGATATGGCTAGGTTTTCAGTTTCCTGGAAATAGGGTGTAGGGTAGACTGAGTTTACTTTGGGGATTAGAGTCATCTCTGAAGAGGTCACCCCTCTGGTCTCAGTGATTGATGATGAGGGCCTGAGTTGGGGTAACATCAAAGAAGAGTAGAGGAAATGATTGAAAGAAATGGTACTGTATGTCAGCCCTGGAGTTTGTTTAAATCCCAGGTTGTCACCCAGTCCGCAGGTGTGGGGGGTGCTTAGCCTCAGGGGGCAGGGATTACCCTACCCACATAAGCCCTGGAATTTGTGTTGGCCCAAAAAGAAAGCAAGACAAAGGATGCTCCCTGCTCCATCTCCCCGACTCTCAGCCCTCTGTAGTCAGCCTAGGGGTACATCAGCAGACTGAAGATTTTCCTTCAAGATACCAGCAATATTTAGACAAAGCTGCAGCAGCAGAAACATTCATGACTCTCCTGGGATCCAGATCAAAGAACAAAGAAGAACCTGGACTGAAAGGCAGTCTCTATCTAACTAGAGAATTTAGGAATTAATTTAGAATCTTATCTTTCCAAAACTTTGGAGGGGAGCCAGCTCTTAAAGAAGAGTATTAGAGGAAAAACACCAAAGTATTAAATGACTCCAAAGATCTGATGAACATATGTACTTGCTGAAAGGCTGGCTGTACTGGAAGCCCTGTTATGGTCTGGGGAATTAGAGGGGATCTTTCTAATTCATGTTCAGTGTAATTTCTGTAAGCCCTTGGTTCTCCATCTAATTACCTGCTGAACACAAACATAAAGCAGTGTTACGTTATATTAAGGCCTACCTGAAAGTGGTGCAGGAAACCCCAAAACTACACGTGGTTCTCATGGAGTCCCTTAAGTCAAAGTCAAAGTCCTCTCCTGGGTCCACTGACAATTCAGGTGGACTCTGAGGAAGACAGAGAAGTGGTATGGCAGCTAGAAATGAGAAACATATCTTCATTATTGCACCCTATTGCTTAGACATTTTTACATGAAAGATCAGATAGTAAATACTTCAGGGTTCGTGGTCCACATACAGTCTCTGTCCCATATTCTCTGCTTTGGGGATTTTTTTTTTTTTTTAAAAACAATGCTTTAAAAACATTTTTAGTTTGTGGGCCATACAAAAACAGGCTAAAGGCCTTCATTAGCAAACCTTGGCTTAGAGCAGGCTCATGATGCCTAGAAAACAATAGATAAGCGACCTGTTTTACTTAATCATTTGGAGACATTTGGGTTTTTCTTTTTTTTTTTTTTTTGACAATTGTTACTTAGTTTTTATTTCATAATCATAAACTTAACTCTGCAATCCAGCTAGGCATGGGAGAGAACAAGGAAAACATGGAACCCAAAGGGAACTGCAGCGAGAGCACAAAGATTCTAGGATACTGCGAGCAAATGGGGTGGAGGGGTGCTCTCCTGAGCTACAGAAGGAATGGTCTGGTGGTTAAGATAAAACACAAGTCAAACTTATTCGAGTTGTCCACAGTCAGCAATGGTGATCTTCTTGCTGGTCTTGCCATTCCTGGACCCAAAGCGCTCCATGGCCTCCACAATATTCATGCCTTCTTTCACTTTGCCAAAGACCACATGCTTGCCATCCAACCACTCAGTCTTGGCAGTGCAGATGAAAAACTGGGAACCATTTGTCTTGGGTCCAGCATTTGCCATGGACAAGATGCCAGGACCTGTATGCTTTAGGATGAAGTTCTCATCTTCAAATTTCTCCCCATAGATGGACTTGCCACCAGTGCCATTACGGCGTGTGAAGTCACCACCCTGACACATAAACCCTGGAATAATTCTGTGAAAGCAGGAACCCTTATAACCAAACCCTTTCTCTCCAGTGCTCAGAGCACGAAAATTTTCTGCTGTCTTTGGAACCTTGTCTGCAAACAGCTTGAAGGAGACGCAGCCCAAGGGCTCGCCGTCGACAGCAATGTCGAAGAACACGGTAGGGTTGACCATGGCTAGTAGTACAGGACTTTCCTCGGTGGCAGCGTCTGCAAAGCCGACATTTGGGTTTTTCTTCACACCGCTTCCGACCATAAAGTCTGATTCACTGGAGTCTTGTAGTTAGCTGTCTTGTTTGAATGCTCTCCAAGAATTCAGGAGTGAGGCTGTGTGGCCTGCTTTCTGCTGAACATATCCTGAGGCCTCAGGACCAGAAGTGATTGATTGATGTGCAAGAAGCAAACAGCCTCTTGTCTTCCACTGACTGCAATAAAACCATCAGCACTAATAAGAAAACAAGCTCCCCACTGAGAAGCCAAAGAAATGGGCCTGCTTCTAGGATGGTATGATTTTGCCTTCCCCAGTCATGGATTATACTTCCAATTAGCTCCAACCCTCATGGCATCCTGTACAGCATCTCTTGGGGAGATGTCTGGCCAGTTCACACATGTCAGGTGTTATATTAGTAACACACCTCCTGGTATCAATACAACAGACCTGGTGTTTGCTTTCTGACTCATAGACATGGTTTCCATGGAACTGAAGTACATACCACCAACAATGCCCAGTCTGTTCCACATACAGACCCTTTCGGGGTATCTGCCCTAAAGCAGACTAGAAAAAAGGAAATAATCTGAGAAAGAATTTTTTTTTTTTTTTTTTTTTTGAGGTGGAGTCTTGCTCTGTCGCCCAGGCTGGAGTGCAGTGGCCGGATCTCAGCTCACTGCAAGCTCCGCCTCCCGGGTTTACACCATTCTCCTGCCTCAGCCACCCGAGTAGCTGGGACTACAGGCGCCCGCCACCTCGCCCGGCTAATTTTTTGTATTTCTTAGTAGAGACGGGGTTTCACAGTGTTAGCCAGGATGGTCTCGATCTCCTGACCTCGTGATCCGCCGTTTCGGCCTCCCAAAGTGCTGGGATTACAGGCTTGAGCCACTGCGCCCGGCGAGAAAGAATTTTTTAAAAACAAACTAACAAACAACTCAATATAGGTGTATCTCAATTGCAAAATCAAATCTCTATTCCAACATCATAAAATGCAGACAACTATGTACAATGATATAGATAAATACCATATACAATGATATACATAGACACAATGGAATGAATTAGCTCTAACATATATGCAAAAACAAAAATATATGATGTGTGTCTGTGACCCCGAACAGTGGTAGTATTTTATTCCAGCAGCATCATTAAAGAAGTTGATTAACATCTACATAAAGATAGTTAGGTACTGACTATAGGGGAAATAAACTTCTGATGTGTACTCCTCATGCTGGGGGAAAGAAGAAAAATTGTTTAGGCACTTTGTTATCTTCTCGTTTCCTTCTTACCCTCCAATTCTACTTAGCATGCAAACTCCTATGGGTTTATAGTGGACAACCTGCCAACAAACAGAAAGAAAAAGATGTGTCTATCATTCAAGTGTGAGTTTTTTGTCACGTGAGTCCAGAAGAAAGTCATTGTCTTCCTAGCAGATAAAGTTGTTCCCTGGCTATATACATGGATGTTTCCCTGTGTGCCTTGAAATCCACACAGAGTGAGTTTGCAACTGTGTTTTCCAGAAAGGTGTAAGGTGAAAAATAAAAGCCCACTTCTCAGCTATTGTATTGCTGGCTTATTTTATGTGCAGAATATTCTATTTAAGTAGAGCACTTGTAGAAAATTTTATATAACTTGAAAAATTCTCACTAGAATTTCTACAATATCAATGTAAATCTCATGTTGGCTTAAGATTTAAACATACACATGAGCTACTATTGAACTGCACAAGTTTAAAACTGTCTACAAAGAAATATAATTGACCAATATGGTAGGAATATACAGCAGTACAAATAATGTAAAGTAAATTGCCCTTTAAATTATATGTACTTTAATAACTCAAAACATTGTAGTGCATATAAGGGATTTTACAAGTCATAGCATTTTAACTGCTGTTTCTTAAGACATCATCCTATCTGTTTCATCTCCTTCTAAAATGCCACAACCCAATGTCCTGCAAATGCTAAGACGTGACAGATTTTGAGTTATAATGTTGGGTTCTGCCATGCACAGCTGCTTTCTTAGAATAGTACAACCCACTGCCAAAATAAATGAACAGCATCTTTTTGTGGGACTTAACTGTCAGAAATGCTCTAGTCTCATGTCTGCAAGTTTGGTAACAGAAGCAACCCAAGGAAAAACGTGTGATGCCTGCACCCTGCTAATGGTGCTGTCTGTGCATTTGTTATTTCGGATCTAGCTTTTCATAGCAACCACTGAATATGCAAAATGAATTTAGGGGTGCCAGAGTTAATTACACCAGCTCTATTTGATGGACAAGTTTTGTAAACAATCAGGATTTTAACTTCTCTAGACTTGAATTTGAGAGCCTGGCCATTTGTATCCCTTTATGGAGCTAGAAATTTTGAATAAAGTATAGACAGATGAGTTCAGGTCACATTTACTTGTCCAAAGATGGAACACAGATTGGTAAAGATGCTTGCACATCTATAGGGTACTGAATGTAAAAGGATTTTCACTTTCTTTCCTTTTTTTTTTTTTTTTTTTTTTGGGACAGGGTCCCGCTCTGTCACCTAGGCTGGAGTGCAGTGGTGCATCATGGCTCACTGCAGCCTCAAATTCCTGGGCTCAAATGATCCTCCCACCTCAGCCTCCTGAGTAGCTGGGGCTAGAGGCCTGTACCATCACATACAGCTATTTTTTTTTTTTTTCATAGAGATAGGGTCTATCTATGCTGCTCAGGCTGGTCTTGAACTCCTGGGCTCAAGTGGTCCTACCTCTTTGACCTCCTAAAGTGCTGGGATCACAGACATGAGCCACTGCACCCAGCCCAGTTTTCACATTTAATCACTAGCAGTAATATTTTCATTTAAATTTGGAGAGATACCCAGGCTTTCCCTCCATGGAAAGGCAATAATAAAGTTTAGTTCTTGGGCAGGCTTTTCAGAACTCCTAGGTTGTAACTAACTTTTGTTAAATTTTCTTCTACACATCTTCAACAATAACTACCACTTTGTTGTCCTCGAAGTGACAAGGTAGTTAGTTGGATGCAACATAAGAAAGTTTAATTTTTTTCCATGTAATACATAGTGCCCTAAATATATTTAGCATCATTGTATCTTGCCAAAACCAAATATTCTTCATATTCCCCTCAAGTTACTTACAACCAGCTCCATACACATCATCCCCCCACACAAATTCATCCATGTTGCCACAAAAATACTCATCTCACATTGGACACCTAGCAATGCACACTCAACACTCAGAAGTTACAAAACCAGGCAGGTGCTCCTCTCCTAGATGACAGTAGACTCCAGTGAGTTTTCCATTTTCTAGGAGTCAAATATCCAGGTTGCCACTCTTCCTTTGGCCACTTGCCTCCTGGCCCTTCATTACCCATTCACACCTTCACCAGAGCCTATGCAAGAGAACTAAGTGAAGTTAAAATTCAGATCTTGGTTCTTCTTAGATAATGCCTGGTAAAGGAGTTGACCATGAAGAATGCTGAAATGTCTCAATCATTAAAAAATATGTCATCTATGGATTGCAGGCATTTGTGTTAGTGACTACAAAAAGTTACACTTTTTGTAAATGAGCAACTTATTCCTACTTAACCTAGGAGGAATGTTGCAGTCAGGATTCAAAGACAATTAATCAAGAACCAGAATGTGGAGGAAGTTGAAAACTGTGTTACTGCATCTAGAAAAGAAAAGGCTCAATGTTGTTTCTTGATCTGCAATATGAAGGAGTCGTATTGGATGACAGCCACAGTTCCCTCCAGTTGTGACTTTCTATACTTTTAATGGCTAAATATATGATTGATTATTATTTGTTCTGTTATGGAGTGGTAATTATGAGAAAAGAACCTGGACATCAAGGGCAGGACTATCTTACTGTTTTCCTCTGCCAGGAAACTGCTCTTTCTAAGATTGCCAAAAATATCCTAGCAGTCACTGTGAATCCATCAACCTTTATTTACAGGAGCACCTACTATGTACCAGGCACTATTTCAGGAGTCCAGGATATAAAGATGAATAAGACCCAGTCTCTGCCACCTAGGATCCCAGAATCTGGCAAGGGAGACACATGTAAAACCCATCCCAGTAAGAGCTCTGCTTGAGATGATGTGTGAGATGCTATGAGTTGCATGAGAGTGCAACTAACTCTAAGAGGGATCTGAAAAGGTTTCTCCTGACATTTTTGTCAGGTCTTAAGGAATAAGGTCAGGGTGTTCTAGGCAGAGAAAAGGAAGAAAGGGCCTTTCTGGGAAAAGTGATGAGTGAGGAACAGCAGAAAGAGGGGCAGCTTGTGTGGCTGCCATTGAGTGAGAAGGTGAGGAGAGCAAAGTGACCAGAAGGTGAGGAGAGAAAAGTGAAACATTGGTTTCAAGAGTTTAAAGCATCTTTCATAGCCCACTAATTAATTTGATGTCATCTCTAAAGCCATGGGTCTCAATTGGTGGTGAGTAGTCATTGCAAGGCATTCACCAATCCATCAATCATTGTCTCCAGATTGAATACATGTTATCTTTCCAAATATATGTCACTATTGATTCAATGTATGTAAATTCCATGCTTATTAATCACAAAAAAATTTTAAATTGTTGCTGGATTCAGAGTAGCTTTTGGTTTACATAATTTCTCAATTAATAGATATGTGGGCATCCACAATGTTTCTTGACGTGAAAAAAAACAATGAACCGTTGTTTTGGGTAACAGCAAATGGTTACACATTTTAAAACAGAGATGTAGAATGATCAGATTGTTATTTTACGATGATCACTCTAAAAAGATGTTGGCGATGGATCTGAGGGGAATGAAAGGAAAAGCAAGGATATTGGTTAGAAAGCTGATCAACATGAACAATAATTAGGACCTCTGACAGTGAAGGGGAGTGAGAGAGGAGACAATCAACACAGGAGGTATGTAGAAAGTAAAAACAAAAAGAGTTTCAACCAATTTAACATGAAAGAGAGAGAAGAAAGGGGGAGTGAGGACCACCCCCAAGTTTCAAGTTTAGACTGTGAAATGGGAATGGAAATAGAATATATAGGAAGTAGGATTGTTGGAGAAGATAACAAATTTGATTTGAGATATATTCATTTA